TGCATTAATTCTTATTGTTCCCAAGCACATACTGGCTTCTACCATGGAAAATAAACCAAAAATTGGACACACCATGCCCTGAGACTAACAACACCAAATGTCAGGAATCTTTTCCCTCATTTCCCCATAATTCCTCAAACCAGCCTTTTCTACTTCTTCTGTCAGAGGTTCTGTTAATCATCACTTCCTTTTTAATACCCCTATTCATGTTTTTCTTTCTTTTATCATATTCTAAAGGATACATAGGTGATTATTGAGTTCTGTTCCTTTTGATTTCACACACAGCTCTGCTAGGTGTTATTCCAGAACACTCTAGGTATAATCTTTTGTTACCCCAAAATGATATAGCACATTATGGGGCCACAGAAACTGCTTGGTGAACCTTCCTCCTTTTGAATAATAAGAGAGCTAATTAAGGAGCATGAGAGCTAGCTAAATCAACCATCCGCATGTCCTTGCTGTTTTCTCTGAACTGTTTATTGGTTCCCGTTTTCTTAATTTTGATACTATAAATGCCGTCCAACCTCAGGGTGTGAGCCATGTGGCTCTCTAGGGGAAGCGCATTTCAGGCAGAGGGAAAAGTCAGGGCAAAGGTGCTGACTTGTGCCTGGATAACTCTAAGAGTAACAGAAAGTTTAGTACGGTTAGCAGTAGGCAGGGGGCAGGGAGAGCGTTCGAGGACGGCGTGCTGACAATACCGTGGTGGAGCAATGCAGGAAGCAGGCATCGCTCCCCCGTGGAGGACGCGCGATGGCTTGGATTAGGATGGCGGCAGCACACGTGGGGAGAAGTGGCTGGATGCTGGGCATGCCTTAGCATCAGCAGGATTTGCTGATGAAGTGGACGTGGGGATGTGAGAGCAAGATAGGCGTCAGAGATGACTCCACGTATTTTGGCCTCACAACTTGAGACGAGAAGGTGGCGTGGAAGGCAGTTTTTTCTCTCCATTCAGCCGTGCCGGTAGAGAGTTGGGTGTATTTACAGATGTGTTTCCAAAAACTGAATGAGCCAGTCAGGTGAGTAGCAATAGATGTGGGTGCAGATTATTATGAAGATTATAATAAAAGACCATGGATTTTAAACTAAGTAAGGAGGGAAGTAAGGGCATAAGTAAAATAATGACCAGATCAATCAACTGTTGGCCCTCGAGGGGTTGAACAGCTGCGGTGGTACTGAAAGAGTTGGAATAATGATGATGGTGGTCACAGGATGGGTTAATGGAAATTGAGATTATGGGTTGCATTTATTGGAAGACAGAGAGTATGGCTTAAGAGAGAAGGGGTGAGGTAAAGTGGTGATGTTTTTATATTATTAGAAGTAAGAGGTTAAGGACTTGAGAAGCCAGAATATTGGGAGGTTGGGTTTTGTGGATGTTGATACTATAAAGAATTATGACGGAAGTGAAGACATTTACAGGAAACAGGGGTTAAATTTGTCAAGAACTGAGGGACAGTGGTCCAGGGTTGCCACAGTTGACTGTGACAAGGAGGGATCGTAGGTATAATTTGATGACAGGAAATTCAAAACTGGGTGTTTTTGCCCAGCCGGCATGGCTCAGCAGTTGAGCATCAACCTAGGATCCAGGAGATCTCATTTCGATTCCCGGTCAGGGCACATGCCGAGGTTTCAGGCTCCATCCCCAGCAGGGGCCATGCAGGAGGCAGCCGATCAATGACTCTCTCATCACTGATGTTTCTGTCTTTCTCTTTCCTCTCCCTTCCTCTCTCTGAAATCAATAGACATATTTAAAAATATATATATATTTTTTAAAAGACAAAACTGGGTGTTTTGTGAAGGGGAGAAGGGGAATATGTGCAGTGGCAGTTAAGACACCTCCTGAACTTCTATACTTGATGGTACTGAGCTTTTAGGAGAGAAAATAGCCACTCGTCAAGAAGGCTCCAGCAAAAGTGGTGCCTTCCTGGCAGAGGGGTTAGAGCAAGGAGGTCAGAGCAGGAAGGCCAGAAGGATATGAATATGAATGATTATGGATGCTGCTGTATCTGCTTTTTTAACTCGATTTTGCTATGAGTCATAGACTACATTTCATTCATCTTTGGATTCTAAGCATCTATTGTAATAAAGAATGGTTAAATGATTTAATGTTATATAGGTTCCCTAAAACATCTAGAACTTTTTAGAAAATATACTTGAGCCATAGTTTAGGTTTGTAAAAGTTTAACGCTTGTCAGTGTATAAATAACTGTCCCATTGAATAACAGTACTTGGCACATAAATGTCCAGGCAACTGTAAGCATTTATTGTGTGTAACTATTTAATACTTAACTTGCCAGCACCTCTTCTTACCCCTGCTTCAATGTGCCCTACTTTCATATTGAATTTAATTTCATTTGCAATTCTTTATTGGTTTTCCAGCCAACAACTGTCATTATCATACACAGAGAATCACCAGTTCTGTTAATTAGCCCTATAATTGCGAGTGAAAGAATTGAATACACTTGAGTTTCCCATGAAAATTTAAAAATAAGATGAACATCCACTAATTGCCTATTTCACTTTCAGAAGATTTCATAATTACTGAAGCATCTCTCTGCTGCTTTGAATTGATGCCTCTGACTGTAAATTATGGTCCAGGTGCTCACAAGATGGGCTGTCTTCAGTTGTGCCAATTTCCTACTTGTCATTAGGAAAAGTGTGAGAGAAATACTTTTCCTCTAAAGCATGAAAGACTTTGTAACAAAATTTCTATTCCCTTTTCTAATATAAAAATCTTTGGGGAACTCACTTAACATCCCCAGGTGGGTATTTGGGAGGGAAATAGCAGGGCAAAAGGGATGCCAAGCAGAAAAGTCTGGATAGATAATAGGAAGCAAGATCACACCATAATATGTTTCCCTGCGGAGAGCACAGTCGTGAATAGTATGATTCTATGGAAACATTTTCTAGATGCTTTCATTAGGCATGGTAGTATGTGATGTTTGCAGTCAATTTGTCGTCTGCCACTATCGGTGTGTAGCTCAAAGAGCTGATCTTTCACTTCAGGTAAGCTGATATAATGTATTAAAAATAACTAACACTTATTGATCACTCTCTGTGCCAGGTGCTGTGCTAAGCACTTTCTATGTATTATTTAATTGAATCTTCATAACAACACTATGAGGTGAGAACTATTATTAAATTCATTTTTCAGATAAAGAAACCAGAATCCAGAATGAACTTTCCTAAGGTCAGTGAGCTAGTAGGTGTCAGGACTGGCAGAGCTGGTGGTCATGTTACTGGACGGGGACCGGGCCCAGAGCAGGTTTGCCTCGGGCCCACCTGTAGTGTGTGGGTTCTTGACTTCCTGCAGGAAAGATTTCACAGCAGGAGCTCAGGTGATTTTGAGAGTAGGTTTATTAAAGCTGGGACAGTGAAATAAGGGTTTAGGAAAGAAAAAGGAATAGGAGAGAGCCTGCGTGGTGCTGCTTTGGCTCTCTAGAAATGTTAGAGGGACAGCTGTCAGCTCACTGGAGAGTCAGAGAAAAGGGGGCCTTGGGGATAGGTTCAGGGGCTTAACCTGGGACGAGCTGCCAGCTGCCTATTGCTCCACTGGTTGCAAGTCTTACGGGGTCCCTTAGAGTTTAGGAGATGCAGGCCTGTGGGGGAAGGAGAGGGGTAAAGGGAAAGGCAGAGGCGTGATCCCAGGAGGAAGAGCAAGACCTGGGTCCTTCACCTTGAGGGTTTTTAAAGGCTGGGAGTTTAGGGGAGGATCTCAATAGAATATTCATCAGCTTTTCTAGGTGTGCCCTTTCAGGATTGTGGTCTCCACTGATTGGGCAGTGCCAGGGCAGGATGCCATTAGCTTTGCTGCTTTTTTGGGCCTGGAGCTGAAATGCAACTGAGGCCTAGATGTTATCTGTAGGGAGGAAAGGTCAGGAGTGTCTAAACTGCATGACCAGCAATATGTCAGGGGAGGAAAGCCACCCTGGGGTAAGGTCTGGTGCTAGTTTTGCCCGTTGCTAGGCACCTGGGACTTTCTTTTTTTTTTTTTTTTTTTTTTTTTTGCATTTTCATTGCTCTGTGCATTTATTAGCGAATATTAATACAGCAAAGGGGACAGAATCTCACAAACACTCTACATAGTTTTACAAGACACATTGTAGGAAAAGAGTGACTAAGGACAATATCCTAGGGTGTTGATGGACGAATTCCTGGGGGAGGTGGGCCTCTGATCCCGGGTGGAGGGGATCTCATTCCTGGAGGAGGCATGCCTATCCGTGTCTGTCGATCAGGGGGAAGCCCAATTGGTGGGCCCATGGGTGATCTCACACCAGGTGGAGGAACCATAATGCCTGGAGGGGGGGTTGTCCGGCCCACAGGTGTGGGGGGAGTCCCCCAACCTGGTGGGTACCAAGTTAGCACTCCAGCAATGCTGGCGAAGGCCGCGACAGTACCTCGTCCCTGTGGAGTCATTACCTGCCGGGAGGGTCCCCGAACCCTTCGTACAGGGCCTGCTAATCCCCCAGGAGCCTGTGGAATTGGAACACCAGCTGGTACTCCTCTGCCAGCGGCCCTGCCAACCCTAGGGCCTCTTGCAGCTCCCGCAAGTGGTACTCGAGCAATGCCAGTATCTTTGGGGGGAGGTCCCTCCACAGTCATGGAAACCAAGTTCTCTCCACGCAGCAAAACCAGACCCAAGACCCGATTCTCTTCACGCTCTGGCTGCTTCGCATTCTTTGGCTTAATCGTCCTGAACTCCTCACAGTCACAGAGGATCAAGTTCATATGCCTGTCAAAAGCCTTAAAGGTGCCAATGAAGATCCGGCCATCCTGCAGGAGGCACCGCATCCTGTAGTTGATGTGCTGCAGCATCTTGCTGCTCTTTCCCACAGTCATGATTGCCGTTCCACCAAGTCCAATGTGCACAGTAAAGTTTCGGGATCCTTAAGACCTAAGGGAGGGCTGCAGATAAAGGTATGACGCAGGTTCTGCTACGAACAGTGCAGGCTGGGGCAGAAGCTTCAAACAGCAGGTGGAGCCTGGGATGCTCCAAGACTGCCTTAACCACCTCTTGGTGTCTCAGCTAAGAAAGCCTGTCTCAGTCCCCCCGGGAAGGCCACCACAGGCGCTTGCTGCTGTTGAGACCGACTCAGGTACAGCTGACACCCTGGGTTGCCCAGGGAGGCTGTCTGCCTCCGCTTGACCGGGACCCCCGCCTCTGGCCCGTGCTGCTCCGTGGTCCGTCTCAGGTGTAAGTGGTCCCTGGAAAACTAGCTGGGCTCTTCACGGACTAATAGCAGACGCTTCTCAAGTGCAGACAGACATGTCCTCCAGCTTACTCTGCAGCAGTACTTTCTGGGAGGAGCTACAACTCCTCAGGACCCATCGTTTTCAAGCATATAAAAGCATGCATCTGCTTCCTTATTAATTCCCTGAGTCAGCTCAGGGAAAACTCGGTTCACCTGTGTAACGTCACGCTCCTTAAAGGACCACTTCAGATGCCCTCACGAAGCTCAACTGCTGTTTAGTTCCATTGACTTTGGGTCAGATCTCGTCTTGCATGAAGTAGGCAGAATCTTGGGCAGTTGGAATATTGTCACCATCTTTGTATCTATGCCACTCTCAGATCTTGTGAATGTCCCACCAGGCAAATCCTGGGGTGTCTCTGTTCTATCAGTTGCAAGCTGTTCTGAGGTGGGAACAGAAGCTAGTACACCTGTAGGGAATGCCCTCTAACTCCCTCCTACCTGGAAAGGTACCACACCCGCCAAGACAGATCTTCAACAGCTTAGACTTAGAACATAGCCACAAAGCACCTGGCTGTAAATTGCTTCGCCAGTTTGTTCAGCTACCTGTCTCAGTTTCCCTAATCCACTTGCGAAGGGATTTTCCTAGGGTCTTGCTATCCTGCCTCATTCTGACCTGAGAGCCCACCCTGAATTACCCCCCAAAGATGTAGTTCCTTATAAACAAGCTGTTTAAGAAGGAAGGCTTATGCCTAATTCAGTTTAATGATTTGCTAAAGCTTTTACTAATAGTCATATATTTATTATTTCATTGATTTGTTTACTGATTTAAAATGTTTTATTGAGTGCTTATTATGTCAATACCAGAAATGACCTTGAGGATCAAGCAGCCAACCTCCCCTTACACCCTCTTGCCCTGCTGCACTTCTAATATGCACTCAGGGATGTTAAGTGAATTCTCCACAAAGTTTTATATGAGGAAAGTGGGTAGAAATCTTGTTATGTAGATTTATCATAGAAATGCACATTTCAATGTAATGGTGTCTCTTGTTTCCAGTAGGAATTCATTAAAAATACATGCTAAATAAATTAAATGGAGATATTTCAGGTTAATGAAAATGCTCAAATGCACAAAAGTAGTTACTAGCAAAACTGGAACTGAGACTAGTAGTGTGTAACTCCCAGACAAACCTCCAAGTAATTGTCAATACAAAGATGGAAAAATGAATGCTCTGGTTTGTAGTGTCCCCAACAAAAGTTAAAGAAGTGGATTCTTTTTTAAAAAAAAGATATTTTTATTTATTTTTAGAGAGGAAGGAAGGGAGAGGGAGGGAGAGAGAGAGAGAAACATTGATGTGAGAGCAACACATAGATTGGCCACCTCCTGCACATCCCCTACAGGGGATCGAGCCCGAAACCAGGGCATGTGGCATGTGCCCTAACCTGGAATTGAACCCGAAACCTTTTGGTGTATGGGACAATGTCCGACCAACTGAGCCACTCAGCCAGGGAAAGAAGTGAAATCTTGAATAGTGTCTGTACATGATTAGGAATGGTGCCAATAAAAAAAATACAACGATTCTTAAAGCATCAAATTTTAATAAACATTGAACAGAACAGCAGAGATATACTTACTTTGGAGCAGGCTTTTAAAAATTAAGATACAGTTTGATACATATCCAAACAATATTTAATTTTTTAATCTTGGGGACTTATCATGAATTGTACCTTGGACTTAAAATCCGTTTCTGTGATTTGTTCCAAATTTTCACCTTTTTTTTTTTTTAAATTTAATTTTTGTTTAAAAATAGTACAGATGTCCTTTTTTCTCCCCAATGACCCATTCCACCCCAGTCCCTCTCTCCACCATTGTCCGTGTCCTTGGGTTGTGCATATTTGCATATAAGTTCCTTGGTTACTCTCTCCCCCTCCACCCACCTGCCCTCCTCCATCCCTCTGACATTCATCAGTCTCATCTGTGCTTCCATGTCATTGAATCTATTCTGTTCATCAGTTTATTAAGTTCTTTGGATTCCACATATAAGCAAGATCATGTGATATTTGTCTTTCTCTGTCTTTCTCTGCTTATTTCACTTAGCATAATATTCTCCAGGTCCATCCATAGTGTCCCAAAGGGTACAAGATCCTTCTTTACAGCTGTGTAGTATTCCACGGTGTAAATGTCCCACAGCTTTTTTATCCACTCGTCTACTGATGGGCACTTGGCCTGTTTCTTATTTAGACCTGTATTTGTCTCCCCACACGTGGTCCCTACAGCATGACAAACTATCCAAGTCAGCCTTTCAGCAAACCTAATTCTGCTATATTTCCCCACAAATGGTGGTAATGAGAAGATGATATATTAGAGATTTTATAATGTAAACACCTGGAGCCTTTCCTTATTCATGAGGAGATATTTTTCCTCTTTTTCCCGAGTCACAATGTTCCTTTTTTTCAGTTGGGTATACATTGATTTATGTACCATTTCTTTTTTCTCTGTTATAGTCTATTGCTACTAAAAAAAAAAAACACCCTCAAAATGTGGCTTAAATGATAATGATTCTTTTTAAATACTTAAATAGTATTTAAGTAAAATTTATCCAAGGATTTTGTATAGCAATGTTAGATTATTTTATGTCATAGATTAAACTTTTAAGTCTAAGATATTTATAAATGAAAACCTTTCACTAAAGTGAGTTTTTTAACCTTCCATTTTAAATTAAATAGACTGAGGATTGCTTTATTTTTATAATGTTAGAAAGACAAGTTGTACCTTGCTTCTTTTTTATAATAGTACTCTTAATCCTGTTTTCATATTTTCTGAGCAAGCCAGGCTCTTTAAAGGGGTAATTGTCATTTCATATTTGGTAATATCATCTGTAATGAACACCAGGCCGGAGACTGAGTGATTTTATTTTGTTCCTCCATTTCCCCTCGCCTCATTACTTACATATTTTATCAATTATCTGTCTTACAAGTGATATGAATTGACACAGCCCCTTTGGTTTTGAGGATTTATTGAGAAGAGACTGAGCGGTTTGCTTAGTTGAAGGAAGAGCTGAGCAACGTGGCTAAGCGTGGCAATAACGGAGATCATTCTGGACGCCGGCGCAGCAGCAGTGGGGCCCTTTGCAATAGGTGACCGCCGGTGGCCTCCTGGGCTGGCTCCTCCATGCAGCTGGGAGGTTCCCGGGAGGGGTTTGAGTTCCAGCTCGACTCAGGCTCCTCACTGTCAGCTCTGGGCAGGAGCAGGGTCTGGGGGCACACGCGCATCACTGGGCATCAAACACCACTTTTACAGAAGGGAGAGGGGCTGCGAGTGGGCAGCCGTCTCCAGGACTATCTGCAATAACTGTTCAGATCAGCTGCCCCAGAGAGGACATGAGACATTCCACCCAGTTAAAGTGTTTGCACGCGCGCACACACGCACGCGCGCACCGAGGAGAACATACGTCCATTCTGCTTCGGGTAACATAGCGTAAGCCTTTGTTAATACTTAGTAATATTTGCACACTGCAATGAACGGCTTTTACAGTTTACTGATTTTGTTCATCTAGAGTTTGGAATTGTCACTTGCCAAAGAAACAAGACTTGTGAGGTGTTTTTTGATTATTTGAACAACTGGCTCCTGTTTATGTTTTATACTTTCTGAAAGGAAAATCACAGTTGAAGTAAAGAAAAAAGGTGAATTGTATGGGTAGTTCAGTAACCACCATAGTGCAAACTTGTTGAGGAAAAGTATTCAGTTTTATTCATTTTAGCATCCACAGAATCTAGTACCAGAGTCTATTACCAGTCTAGAACTCAAAACTTATTTTTTGAATGAATAAATAAATGGATGAAATATCCAAAAGATGTACATATATTTTATTCTATTTGTAAGCATGTTGTCATAGAAAATTCATTTATTCCCTGTTAGGCTATCCAGGTTTCAATCACTTTTAAGTTAATTTAGCAGAGGTTGAAAAAATAAGTACTAATTAGCTCATTAGATAGACTGTGTTATTAAAGAGACAGAAATGTCCAAGTTCAGGTTTATCATCAGAGACAGTGTGCGTGAGCACATGTACACATGGGCACACAGCCTGTGTACCATCTTTCCAGATGTGGGAAATGTATTTGAAGATGTAGGACTACATAGGAAGAAATTATTAATATTAATTTGCTACTAAAAGAGTGGTCAGGAACAAAATATATATTTCAATTTCATTAATTATATTAAACAAAAATATAAGAAGAACTTACATGGAACAGTTTTCTCACAGAACTTGTTTTTCTTCTCTCTGGTGTGCCAAGACCTATTTGGCAAGTGTATAATATGTATCTTTGCTGACTTGGATATTTAACATTTGTGTAATTTTATGGCTGTATTTGCATAATGCATTATATACCATTTTACTACTTCTTTGTTTTATTATTTTTGGATTAAAGTTCCGGGATACATAACATACTCTAAACTGTGCTCCAGATATAGCTAGTAGGTAGGAATCTCATAATTTTGAAAACAAAAATTACCTACTACTTACATTTGTGTTTCTCCTCACCAGTGTTTTCTAAAGTAAGATGTTGGTTGGCAATTCCTCTGTAACTAAAAAATAATGAATTACCTTTGATATTTTTGTTATTTCAATAAGAGGTCACATTATTACCATTACTACTATAGTATTTGAATTTGGCATTTACCACTTATTTTAAATTTTTGTAGAAGCATTAACATTTTTTAATGAAACTTATATGTGTATATATGCACATATATATTGGTGTGTATATTATCTATTTTACAGTTATAGAATCAGAAACACTGAGAAGATCACATGTCTAAGAAAAATGTACTACTAGTAGATATAATGAAAAATTGGATTTTGTAGTTTATGGGCTTACAAGTACAGTACATTCTTCGGAACTTCAGAAACATCTTTCTATTCAATATTAACGTACGGTAGTATTATTTATGCAAATATTTCTCTTCATGAAAATCACCTATACATACATAATAAAGATAAGGTAGGTAAGATTTTCATGAAGAACATTTTTATTTCATTTGGATTATTGTTATTCGCTCATTATCATATAATGTTAAAAAGAAATGGCAGCTATTAAACTAATTAAGTAATTTGAACTTTCCTAGAATTGATTGGATATTGATTGGGTTATCAAGCTACTTGCTAATGAAGACTGGAAAATTGGGTGTTTAGACAAAAATGAGCCAAGATCAGGGCACAGTAACTGAAAAGCAAAGACTGGGATGAATGAGTACTCCAAATCCAGCTTTTCCTGGTTCATCACATTGTGTTCCCCATTTATTTTTCTGGCTAAAAATCATGAACTAAAAACAGCTTTTAGGTACAAACATGCAATTAATTATAGAAGTCAGTGCAGTTTTGAAGGGATTAAATACAATTAATTTTATTGAAAGTTGAAACTGGAAAATAATTTTAAAGTCAGTACTCATTTATTTGTCTAAAGGCTTGTACTCTTGACTTATTTATTACCGTTTTACAAAAATAAATTCAACTTTTACTACTTCGGTAAAATATACAGATCCTCAATACTGTTGAAGTGTTAGTAGAAGTAAGATAAATCTTAGTAGAGTTAAAGTTGTCTTCAGCAGGAGAAATAAAACTGGCCAGGACTGCACAGTAAGAATACACAGTCAGATCTTGACTGCTTCCAAGCTCGGACCTGTTTTATTGGCGCTTCGGTAAAGATTGGAAGTCACTTTTATTTGATTCCTTTTTATTTGCAGGGGAAAGGGTTTGGAGGTTTCAGGCACGTGTCATATGTCAGTGTGTCCATACATCTATACGTCAATGCCTTTTAACTATGTATTTTTAAAAGATATCAACTTAACAGTGTGAAATCCAATCTGATGCCCAACATTGACAATAAACCAATGCAATGTTCTCTTGATAACAGCACCATTTAGAGAGCCTCATAAGCACATCTATTGTTTTTTAACTAATTGGAAAACCAGTAAAGGCACATTTTTATAACCATATACCAAAAGTAACACTTGTTCAGTGAACTAGTAACTAGTTTTTTGGTGTGGCTTAGTCTTTTAAATTTAGATGTCTGCGTGGAAATGAATGAAGATTTCCTTTCCAATTTAAATTGTAAACTTGAAGCCCAGCCGGGCCTGGCTTAGTGGTTGAGCGTCGACCTAGGATCCAGGCGATCAGGGTTCGATTCCCGGTCGGGGCACATGCCCGGGTTGCGGGCTGCAGCCGATCAATGACTCTCTCATCATTGATGTTTCTATCTCTCTCTCTCCCTCTCCCTTCCTCTCTCTGAAATCAATAAAGATATATTTAAAAAATAAAATAAAATAATAATAAATTTTAAACTTGATATTTGCATATTTTCAGGAGAAGAGTTGAGCCCATCCTTTGACCAGTTTGGACAGTTTTAATAAATGAGTGAGAAAACTAATCAGTTTTATTTCACCTCATAGTACATAGCAAAGTACATAGAGCTAAGTAGAAAAATATCACCATGGGCAAAACTGAAATCAATATAATAGCATTTGCCAAAATGTTTATGTTGGGGAGTATACTGCATAAAGTTTTCAAAGCATATTCTCATGATAAAGTTCACAGATAGGAGAAATGAGATACAGAGATTTGAAGCGAAACACCCACGTTTGCAGAACTTCTGTGTAAAGACCAATATTCTCCAAGTGGGGGTCAGACTTTAGCTTACGCGGCTTTTTGTTTCCTTGTCTGTCCTCGTAAAATGAAATCGCCTTAGACTCTCTAACAGCTCTTTCAGCTGGAATTCAGCCATCAGCTCTTTCACAGTAGATATAGCACACATTTCCAAAAGGCACAGCAACATGGTAGAATAAAACTGCAACAACACAGCAAATAAGAGGATAGATTTGGATATAATCAAATTAACTGTTTTTAAGTCCTGGAACTGCTAGAAGTAAAATATTGATAGAATGTGGAATTGC